CATGGTTCACCTGAGCTCCAAAACAGGTGTTCCATTTTATGCCTGCTGTGAAAAGAGGTTCTATAACACTTTGTTGTGTGTTATTTTGGTCATTGTCAGAATTAAGTCATGCACTTTAGGGCAGGCACCAGTTTTGTTCTTCTAGCTAATAATTTAATACAAAATGCACCAAACAAACTAAAATAGCTTCTAGGTTAACTAGCAATTATTCTAACTATGCTTTGGGTAACTTTACTAAAGCTAGCCTAGTTAATGTTATGTTTGCTAAGTCAGCTAGAGCTAGTCAGACATGGTCATCCCACCTATTATTATATCATATCATAATGACCAGTGGCCCTTAAGGGGCCTGAATCATGAAATTTCACACATTTAAAAAAATCAAACAGTTTGATATAAGATTTAAACACTGTTAGAGATTCAAAATGTACAGTCCATGTATCTAAACTAAGTTGGCCCATTTGAAATGAACCGTTTGTGATATATGACATATGATGACATATCAACCCATTCAGCTTACGGCAGTTTAGCCCTGCCCATTTACACTGAAGTTATAAGGAGTGTTTCAGGCTGTACTGCTTTTTGAATGGAGAGCAGAACTCATTTACATCTATTACCCTTAACTGCACAGTAACAAGAACAGCCTGTTTCATTCTAAGGCAGGGATCAGCAACATCTAGCTCTTTTATTGCCTTGTTGTGGCTTCACAACAGAATTAGATGTTTAGGTAAAAATAAAATAATCCTCCATTGCACTAAAATAAAACTCTGCTGATCATTCTAATACAGTTTTAACAATAAATGGTCTTAAATGCTGGAGTTAAAGTATAACTGCTAATTCACCCTTTAACCCTGAAGGTTGGTGCGCAGACTACTGGCTATCATCACAACACAGACAACAATCTCACCTAGCTAGCAGCTAACGAAAAGGCAAAGAGAAAGATTTAAGACAAACATTCATCAGCTTCTTGTTCGAATTTTCCCGTTAAATGGTGCAGCAGGCACCATTTAAGGTGGAACAGGAAAATTCAAATCAAGAAGCTGGTGAACGAGAAGCTGACTTCAGCCTCATAAAAAGTCGTATGTTGAGACATTTTACAATAAACTGTTCTACTTTTGCGGAAAAGTTTCCTGCCGGAGATGCGAGAAAAGCAGCTATAGCTGAGCTAAAGCTTAAAGCAGAGCAAAGTAAGGCTGCATTTTCGTTTATAAGCTATTATATTTTGCAGGCTATACTAGCATATTAGCACATACCGAGACATTTTTACAGCCAAGATGGTAAAATGGACATAAAATGCTGTGGCTCCAAAGGTGGCTTGATTTTTGTTGAAAGGACAAAATGACTTCTTAATATTTAGGCTGCCAACCCCTGGTCTAAGGGTTAAAGAGGGGTAGAAGAATGATCTTTTAAAATGAATTATGATCACTTTTGGTACATAAAACAAACACCATAAGTGGACTTAAATGGAAAATACAATAAAAATGAAGTATATGGGCCTTTTAACACTGAATCCTGAAGGACAGCACATAAGCAAGGCATGCCAAAAGGTCACTGACATTCCTCTTTAATGCTTTGATGGATGCCAAAAAGACCTCAACAATACTTTTTTAAATCTTTACAATTATATTAAAACAAATATAGCTGATAATCATAACTGACACACTCACAGACAAGCTGTGTAAAACCTGCAGCACACATTGTCAGGCACTATACCTTAAACACGTACATTCAGTAAGTTACTTCTGGCTTGTCAGGAAAAGTTTGGGTTTATCTGTCATAACAGCAGTAGGCGGACTGCATTAGAGTCGCTGCTGTGCCACAGGCCCTCTTTAGCAGCTCAGTCATTCACCCTAAATCAACCCTGCACCCGCTCTCAGCGCACCCACATCCCTCTAACAACTGGACCGGGAACAAAGTCCAGTACAAGAGCGAGACAAAGCGGGGTTTCCATAACAGGCCCCAAAACAGTCACGGCAGGGGCACAGAGCGGCCCTGTATTAATCTCTCTGGCCAGAAACGCTGCGTTTACCTGGACCGGCCTATTAGAGACAGCTTACTCAGGCCAAATGACCTGAATTCCCCTTAAGCCTCGGAGCTGGTAGGAAATCTCCCAGCGCCGGCACCACTCCAGAACGTCCACTACAGAGGAGTTTCTGAGGCCTGGTAGAGCAGAGATCCACTTTTTTTTCCAGAATTACATCTGCATAGGATGTAAGGTTTGTGTTCATCTTTCAATAAGGAAGGATATACAGCTGTACAATATGGAGACCATACTAGTCTTGTGATATCATTATTGCAATACACTGCATTATATTAATAACGCACTGGTGAATCAAATGTCACATAGCTAAAGATTAGCACGATGTTGACCAAGATAAATTAACCATTGGAGGACCATGAAGACTTTGTTTGTGGTAATACATAGTTAGATAGATCACAGATCAATGAGGTCAGCCAATAAAGAGAAAGGTCATACAATAATTAACACAAAATAATCAAAACAGGGGAGAAGGAATGGGAAAAAAGTTAAAAATTAATTTATTTATCTTTGCTGGACTGCATGAATAGATTCTCTGTTTCAGAAACTGCTGCTGAAAAATATTTTAAGCTAAAAAAGCAAAAACAAAAATGTATTTACTTTCAAAATGTAGTCTCTTTGTAAGGGAATGTTTTTTTAACTGGGCTATGGAAATTCATGTGAAAGTATTCAACTTTTTCTTTTACTGGGGCCCATTTACAATGTTTTGTGATTTTATGTGCCAACAACAGTCATATTTATATGGCAATTTTCCATTCGAATACAGGCTTACTATGGTTACTATGGTTACAGGTTACTATGCCTTTAAGACTGACATATGTAAATGACCTCTGTCCTGACTGCCTGCCCTGTACTGTACCCTGGCTAACCCACTCCAGGGCTGGTTAAGTTCAGGATACTGGAACATAAACAGCTCTTGGACCAATCAGAATCCAGCTTCTAACCAATCAGGGACAGCGTTCTGATGAAAGTGGAACCTCTGGTCCTTTTAAGGTGGTCTTTTTTCCCTTTCTGTAAAATACTGCTAGCCACTGATGCAACTTATGCTGCATTTACTTGTTGACAGTAGTCGGTCAACAGCAAACTGGACATTTCATTGGTTTCAATGAAGCAGCAACTGATACAACCATTAGCATTCACTTACTGCTGCAGTCAGTGGAATATTCTGTCAAGAGTTTAATTTTCCCAACTTTTGCCGTCAGCAAAGGTGGTGGAATAAACCAGATGTTGATTTTTTGGGAGTTATGAATGTCGAGCATCTCATTGTTGATGTCCAGGTGAATCCAGTCTTACAGAACAAAAGGATTAAAAGTACAGAACCTTGTCCTACACTTTTCCATCTTAAATAAACAATTGATCCTGATAAAACTCTCCTCTGATAATCATCCATTTTGTCTGTGATGCTGTCGCCATGGCAACGTTTTCAAAACTGCATGCCATGACCCCTGTGACACCGACACCATGTAAACACAGCATAATTCACACTAAATCATGAATCATCTTGATTTTACATAACTTCATCATAAGTGTCATGCTTTAATGTGCACACGCAGATGAGGATTAATCACAGTCTGAGAATCTAAAGCTGCATTAACAAAAAATTGTTAACCACCAATCTATTCATAATATGATGGTGTGCATATTACAGTTTTGTCCATCATTCAATATGGATAGCGCTATTATTTAATAAAATTGAGTGTGAATTCTTAATCACCTTGGATTTTCTGTGCCATTTTATTCTTTTCATAAAACAAGAAAAGTGTATTAAATATGAATAAAGCTGTGCATACATCCCCTCCTTTACCCAGGCAGAAGAAACAGCATCTCTGTGCCTGACAAAAAACAATCCCAGACAATTCAAAGCTCATCACTCTGCCAAAAACATACATCAACTCAGCCTCACACTGGAGAAACAAGATGACAGTATTGTTGAGAAAGAACCAAGATAGATAAATATTGAGAGAGGCTACTGTGCATTAATGTACAAATGACTTACATTATTCAATTAACTAAGTAATATTTGGCCATTCTATAGCTTTATCATAACATGTAAAATTTTAACACAACATAAAGTCCCTCAACAAAAATGAAGATGATATATATAAAGTTTTGTGAGAACATTCATCCCATTGTGCTGATAAAATCTAGCACAGACATTTTGAATCCAACCTTTTATCACTCCACTTCATTCAGCATTCCCCTCGCTGCATATCTGAAATTCACAGACGGCGCTAGTCTAGATTTAACTGAGCATCCTTCAATGGGCTATTTATTCACAATGGGGAGACACTGTTGTTGTTGTGAAATATTTTAAGCTAAAAAAGCAATTTTCTGGGTTTCTTTTTTGCTACTGGACCAGGTAGCAAAAATATTTGTGATTTTATGTACCAAGAACAGTCATAATAGTTATCATCACTATGCCGTTAAGACTGACATATGTAAATGACCTCTGTCCTGACTGGCTGCCCTGTAATGTGCTTTTTTCAGAAACCAGTCTGGGCTGAAACACTCCTTATAACTTCAGTGTGAATGGGCGGGGCTAAACAGCTGTATGAAAACTTGGTAGATGTATGTACATGCATATTTAAAAAAATTGTACTTTGTGACAAAGTAAATAAAAAAAATATGAATTTTTGACTTTGTCACACCAGGTTCTTCACATATCAACATAAATGCAGTAACAGCAGTGAGAAATCACATGATTAAAGGAAAGAGCAGATCAGATGACAAAAATAACCACTTTTTTGCATCAGCCATAAAGTATTAACACATTACAGTTCTATGTAAAAGTGATTGGAATAAACTTGTGAAAATACCTGAAAAACTTTTCACTGGTTTATGATGACAGCTTGTAAACAGGTACCTCATATATGCACAAGCATGCTTAATTAATGCTAAGCACATGTCAGCTGCACAGATAAACGAGAGAAAATGTGCATGAAGTCAGAAATGAGGCGATGCTAACCTGATCGTCATAGCGGTAAGTGAGGTACTGCTCTCCTGTTGTGTCCTCCAGGAAGCTTCCTTGTGGAGACAGTGCGAATTCAGGCAGGAAGTAAGCACTCTGGGACTCGCTCAATACCCCCTGAAGAAGAAAAACAAACAATTAGACCTACGTCAATACTATCAAACCCAGTTCCAGGACTTGGCAGGCAAAGTTTTGTGTTTCCTCAGCTCTAACAAACACTCAACAGCTGATTTTCAAGCCCTCCCACTCACAATCTAATATACATCCACTTTATTAGAAACTCCTCTCCTGCAGCTCCACCTTGCTGGTGTGCTGTTAGAACAGTGACCTCCAAACCTGGTCCTGGAGAGCTGCCTTCCTGTAAAGTCTATATTCAACCAATTTGCCACACCTGCCCCAGCTAATCAACCTATTCCCAAGTCCCTGATTGGCTGGATCAGCTGCATTAGAGTTAATTAATAGGTGGGGCAGCTTACTGGATGCAGGTTGGAACTAAGCTCTGCAGTAAGGTAGCTCTCCAGGACCAGGTTGGAGGCCACTGAGTTAGAAACTGTAGCTCATGTGCTGTTGCTCAGTGTGTGCTAGCCCAGGCAGTCAAACTGGGGACCTTCTGGGCAAAAGTGCTGTGGAGATTAGCGTTTACCCTCATTTAACTAACTGAATTTAGTTCATGAAGGCTTTGCTAACTTGCTGATAAGCTGAATCAGGTGTGTTTAATGAGACAGTGTGCTGAAGTCTGCAGTGTTCTGGCCTGCGAGGGCTGGAGCCTGACACATGTGTTCTAACCCTTCATCGGTGGTCAGTTTCTGACCACAGAGACACTCTTGGCTGGATATTTTTGTGGCATTGCTGTGCTGAGAGTGGTCCCCCACTAGGCCTGAGCGATTTGAAGAAAATTTCTAATTACAATTTTTCTGACCAGTAATTCAATTTAAATACAACTGTCTATAAATTAAACTACAGGCCTATTTTTGGCCAAGAAAACCAGCTTTAGGCTGTGTTCAGATGGTGGGGCATATTCCACAAAAAATCCACAAGGAATCCACCTGAGACAACTTTTGCAAAGTGGAAGCGGATCTATTTAAGGGGCAGGAAGTTAAACTGCCCCACTTAAAACTTGTTGAAGACCCAGCAAACCTAAATCCGTGTTTCCTTTCTAATGAGGTTAATCTTGTTCTTGCAGGAAAACATGTACACAAGTTTACCCTTTGAATAATCTTCCAATGACCAATAAATGACTGATATATTTCACCATATTTCTCTCCTCTCGATGTAAACTGGGCAGTCCTTATCTTGGGTTCAAACCTTAATTACACATCACGCTAAATGGATAAAATAAAGAAACTAGCACTTTTTGCACTTTCACCAGGTTTATTTCTCCCTAATCAGCCTACATAAACATTAGCAAACCTTAGCAAGTGCCTTAACACCACAACCAGTGAAGAGTCACGTCGTAATTCTTCATTAAAGTAAACTACTCACCAAGCTACAGTGCTGAGGGGGACTTGTGATCCTTTAGTGATTTTTTTAGTGACAGCAGTGTACAGGATGGTACATATGCCAGCAAATTAATGTTTAATTTCGAGCTCATCATTCTTTAAATTGCAAATGGGAGCAAACTCCTACTGTTCAGCCCCGAGTCTGTCTCCGCTTCAGTTCTACCTGTTCATTTTCTGATTGGTTACCTTGTGAAAAGTGACACAAGACAAGTGGAGCTTCCCCACTGAAGTTCAACGGTCTGGGAGGATCCACAGCAGAAATAATTGCGATCCACAGTGGAACAAGCAGAGCCTGTGAAATCCTCTGCCATCTGAATGCAGCCTTAGGCTTGAATGTAGTGTGGAAGACTGCCAGTTCACAAGATTTGCATTTTTAGGTTAAATTACCCCACTTAAAACTTGTTAAAGACCCAGCGAACCTAAATCTGTTTTCTATCTAATGAGGTTAATCTTGTTCTTGCAGACAAACAGTAAACATGTACTAAGTTTACTGTACGAATAATGTTCCAATGACCAATAAATGACCAGTATATGTACCATATTTCTCTCCTCTCTATGTAAACTGGGAAGTCCTTATCTTGGGTAGTGCTTCCGTTAGCATTCCTCTGACCAATCAGAAGGCTGCGTTTCTGGCCCTGCCCACACAGAACAGTTTCAGAGTCTAAAGCTAAAGCTAACCCAGCATAACAAAAAGCTAGCAAGTTAGACCACCTGTCCGCCCAATCATTCATTTATCCAAAACCAACACTGCTCGTTCGTCCATTCCTTCATTCACATTTTGCTTCATCTATCCATTTGTTCATTCCTCGATCCGTCCATCTGCACATCTCTTTGTCTGTGACTTTTTTCATCTAGTTAGCATCACTTAAAGCTGGATAATCATTTCAGTTCTGTATGAGCGGAGAAGCAGGCTAGGCGTGCTGGACAGAGAGCTGTCAATCAAGCAGTTTATTTGCCATGCCCTCTCAGTTCTCAGGTCTGATCAGCAGTTTTTAAGCCATGTTTTATCATATTTATATCTTATATTTTTTATTCAAGCTTTGCTGGATGTTTAATAAAACATTCAAGTTTAGTATAATACACACTCTTTTAATTTTTCACCCTGTCTTCCCGGGGACTTTTTTGATAATATAGTCATAAATTATTTGCAAATAAATGCACTCTTCCATATTGTGAATTTGGTTTAGAAATTATTAATTGTATAGTCCTTTTCACCACCTAAATAATATCTGGTGAGTAGCACTCCTCTGGTCAATAAACAGAGAGTTGATGAGTGGGGTAGAGGACCTATAAGGCTGGTGGACCTCATAAAATGGCCAGTAAGTAAGCACAAGATAGTTTCTAACAAAGTGGACGAAGAGTGTATTAAATTGCAGTTTGGTCTGATTATTATGTGGGTTGACGAACTGAATCATGTGCAAGAACAGGGAGAGCACTAAACTGTGCAGTTCAGTGGCTTGCTACCCCATCCTTAAAAGGATAGTTTAATGACAAGTGATCGCTAATAGCACCACAACTGTGATTTGGTCGCAGACGCAACTTTCGGTGTTCTATTGCAGCGCTGCTGTGCAGCACTGCCCTGTCTGATCCACTCATACCAGCACAACACACGCTAAAACACCACCAGTGTCAGTGTTACTGCAGTGCTGAGAACGATCCACCACCCAAATAGTACCTGCTCTGTGAGGGTCCATGGGGGTCGTGACCACTGAAGAACAGGGTGAAAGGGGGCTAACAAAGTATGCAAAGAAACAGATGGACTACAGTCTGTAATTGTAGAACTACAAAGTGCACCTATATAGTAAGTGGAGCTGATAAAATGGACAATGAGCACAGAAACAAGGACATAATGTTATGCCTGATCGGTGTATAAGAAAGTAAGGGGAAGCAAAGAGGCCTGAGCATTGCATAAAACACCCTTTAATATCAGTGATTTGTTCCACCAAAAAAGTAGCACCTTTTGCATTACAGATAAAACTATGTGAATATCAGGTTGAGCTCAGTTCTTTCAGTATTTTCATATGATGCTGAATGTGATAGAACCATTGCATTTACTAAACAACCCCTGAAGAACCATCTCTTTTTTAAGTGTGTACTGGTTCTATATAGACCTATAGTTCTATGTAGAACAATTTTTTATAAAAGTGTATGTTGTGAGAAGTTTGAGAACCCAAATTTTTAAAAAATGGAGGATCAGACTTATTATTTAGCACAAGGAAAAACAAGAAAAGATGAATCCCCGCTGTCAAAGAAGAGAAAACAGAAAGAAACAAAATGACAACTGAAGGCTAACGTAGGTTCTACTACACGCATGCAAATGGAGGGGTGAGGGAAGTGGATTGAGTTGGTTGCAATCTGCAACCTCATCACTAAATCTTACACACTGCACCTTTGTAAGTCCTGCAGTGTGTCCAGGCATTAGAGTAACATTATTCTTAGGATTTGCATTACTTCATTCAGTTTCATTTTTTAACCTATGCCTGTAAGATAATAGGGAATGTGTCATTATGTGGTCGTGCACTAGAGGTTAGCAGGAATGTCGTAAATAAGATGAGACAGAATAACATGAAACGTTAGACTAAAGAATTATTCTTGGACTATAAAAAACTTGCTTTGATACTGTACTTGCCATGTATTTATGCACTTTTTTCCACACTAAAATGGTCTTCCCAGAAGAAAGAAAGAAAGAAAGAGAAAGCTCTCTATTCTGGTTTGGGACTGGTGAGGATAGAGGATTATTCTACCTCACTTGGCTGACTCTGATCCACTCTTACAGTGCCTTAAATCACAAAGCTATTGCTCCAAACTTCATCGGGGACCCCAAAATACGGCTCAGAGAGTGATTTAGCAACTCACCCCATAAAACAATTGCATAGCAACCTCAAATCCACATCGGGAATGCAAACTAAAGGAACATGCGATGCATTAAACGAATCCATGCATTTTGTATTTATGCATAATAAGGGGAAAAAAGTGATTTGATTCAAATTTCCACATGAATAAAATATATTACACCAACACAATCTTGTCTGTTGACTTACTTTTGGCAATAACTGCACTGATGTAATGCGTTTCTTTCATGTGGAAATGATGTACACATCGAGCACTTATTTCAGTGCGAAGGGATGTTTTCGCTTATTGGGTCACCAAAGAGCAGATTCAAAGTTCAATCAAGCACAATCCACAGAAGAACCGGGCTTTAGAAATGAGCCTCGCTCGGCCAGAGAGGAAATTCCCCCATACCCAAAAGGCTTTGCTCACAAAGCTTAGCAGCAACACATGCACCAAATCCTCAATCTTGGCGGCCATTTTCCCAGCACAATACGCTCACTGTGTTAATTCACAGAACGGAGGGGATTCACTGCTGAGACCGGCCACACAGCTACAAACTATTTATGAAAGTTAAAGAGATTGAAGAACGATGGAGGAGTCTCTCGGAGGATGAGAAAAGAGTTTTCTCTCCGTTCACTCACGAAATGCATCTACAAATGAGGATCCAAAGACTAAAGATGTGGCTTTACGCACTTTATTCCGTCATGGTGGAACCGTGTGCTCAGAGTGGAAGACAAGCAGCTAGTGCCTAAGAACACATCTGATAGTCCCTCAATGCAGGCTTTA